CTGCCCAGCGGGCAGGGCTCCCGGTCGAGGCCGTTCGGACGGGCAACCCGGGGTGAAGCCGAGGTGTCAGCACGGATCAGGCAGCAAAACGTTCCTGCGGCTCCTTCCTCCGCCTGCTCGGCTGCTATTTATCGAGGGGTTTGAAGCCCACGGCAGGGAGCGGGCTCCAGCACACCAGGTACGCAGCAAAACCCAACCAGAGGTACAACCCCGGGACTGCCGGCCTGGCAGAGGAACTGCTGAGCCCCCAGCTCCTTCCCTTGGTGGAGCCAGGAGGTGCCTGCGGCCGGAGAGCAGCAAGAGCAGAAAGGGAGGGGACGAGCACAGGCAGGAGAAGCCAAGAGGCAGCGGGGGTTCCCCCGGCCCGGCTCGGCAAGGAGGGAAGTGCCCCCAGGCGTGGGCTACCGACGAGACCTCCGACAAGCCACAAGCCCTCCGTTCCCAAGGTAGCATTCGCGGGCCGTAAAAACACATCTCAAGAGCCCCCCAAACAGCAGGACAGGAAGATTCCCGCTGCACCTCCCCTAAAGAGTGTTTGCGCAGCAGAGGTCCCACCCTCCGCAGCCTCCCGCTCAGGCCAGCGGTCCTCCTTCCCGCCTGAAGGAGCCCACCGCATCAACGCACGCGGATAGTCGGGCAAACACAGCGCTGCTCGCCCCTCTCCCATCTCGCCCCGCCAGGGCCTCAGCCCCGCAAACCTTCGGCCAGGGGCCGGATCCCTCCAGGGAGGAGCACGGTCCTCCCCAGATCATCGACTCTCCCACCCCTTCGGCTTTCAGGCGAGGCAGCCGAGAGCACCGCGGGCGCAAGCTCTGCTCCCGGCTCCGGGTCCCGCGGCGAGGACCAAGCCAAGCCCTTCCCTGGGCCGCCTTCCCATCCCCTCCCTCACATCAGCCCCAGCGCCTTGAGGCTCGCAGGGTGCGTCCGACCCGTCTGCAACCTCAGGCGTAGGGCTTGGTGCCTTTCTGCGGAGTCAGCAAGCCAAGGAGGTTTCCCCCTCCAACGACGAGACGGAGACGGGGGCAGAGACCCCGGCCCGGGAGCTGGGCCGCTCGAATAAAGCTTGAATAAAACTCGCGCCTCAAGCCGGGCTGCCCCGTGCTCGAATAAAACGCACCTCGCCCGCAGCAAGCGTGGCGTGGGGCGGCCCCGTCACCCACCCGCACCCAACCGTTTCCCTTCCCTCCGCTCGAGCGCGCTGCGCTGAGGGGCACCGCCCGAACTCTCCCGCGCGCCCCTCGGGCGCCGGCTCCGTCACGACGCGGGAGACCCGAGCAGGACCATGCACGCAGCTCGCGAGCTCCTTCCCGCGCTTCCAGAAGAGCCGGAGAAGTCTATCTTGGAGCGAGGAGCTTTTTTTTTTGGCAGGAACCTCCCCGGAAAGTCATCTGAAGGCGCACAAAGTCGCAGGGTCAAATCCCGCCCGAGAGCGTTGCCCCATTCGCCGCCGCGAACACCCCAACCCCAACGCGAAGCGACAAGCGGGCGGCACATTCAAAAAAAACAAAAAAAAAAAGGAAAAAAAAAAAAGCATCGTTTACTTCCCATCATACGTCGTTACTGCCAGCCCGGGAGAAACACGCAGGGACGGAGCCAGGACGCTTTAAGCTCTCCGGGCAGCAGGACGGCGGGAAGCTCGCGGGGCTGCTGGCTAAAGTCGGGCCTTAAATCCCCGGGAAAGGCAGAAGGTCCTTCAGAGCCGGCAACAGGTTTCAGGAGCAAGAAAAGTGACGACGACAAACAGCCCCTCGGCTTACGGGCGCTGGGATTCCCTCAGGGCCGGGATCAGAGTAACGGGGCAGAAGTTACCGGATAAAACAGCGAAACCGGGCAGAGACGCCGTTCCACGTCCGCGGGTCCCATCCCTCCGGGCCGGCTGAAAACGCAGCGACGGCAAACCAGCCCCCCCGGGGCCCGGCGGCCGCCCCGGGGAGAACGTCCGAGAATCAA